TTGAACTACCTTGATATGTTCAATACAAAATTTAAGTACTAGGTTTAGGTTATATTACAAGTTCAAAAGGTTCAAATAATAATAATAGAGGAATAGTCTTAGTTTTCCTCGCAAAATAGATCATGTTTTGTTGGGAGAAGACAAAGCTTAACTATTGGCCGCACCAATTCTCCGTGAGGTGTTTTCAGAGTAACGACGCGTACACGTCCATCAGCTCCAGGGTGGCATTTTACTACTCGTGCAAGCGTCCACTTCGTCGGAGGAGTAGGCTCGCTGAAGACGGCGACCACATCGCCTTCCTCAATGTTGCGCGAAGAACGAAACCATTTGGTGCGTCGCTGTAGGCTTACCAAATATTCGTCCCTCCATCGGCGCCAGAAATGTTGTCTCAGAGCAGAAATCGCTTGCCATCGCTGACGGAGGTTTCCACAGAACCCTTGACCCTCAGGTTCTGGGATTGACTTCAGCGGTTCACCCACAATGAAATGGCCAGGAGTAAGGACTTCTAGGTCACCAGCATCTGAAGAAATGTCACATAGCGGGCGGGAGTTTACGCAGGCTTCTACGTCTGTCAGCACGGTGTTAAACTCTTCGTATGACAGCAACGTTTCGCCCAGCACGCGTTTCAGATGATACTTGATACGTTTTACGCCTGCTTCCCAATACCCTCCCATATGAGGTGCGGCCGGTGGATTAAAACGCCATTCAATATTTGAATCCGCAAAGAAAGATTGAAGTTTGTCATCTGAGATGCACCGTTGAAATGCGATGCGGAGCTCCTTCTCGGCGCCAACAAAATTAGTACCATTGTCTGATGCCATGACCTTACAAAAGCCTCTGCGATTTGTGAACCTTTTAAACGAGTTAAGGAACGCCGACGTTGACAGGTCACCAACAAATTCGAGATGCATCGCACCAGTGCACATGCAAACAAACGAGCAGATGTAGCCCTTAGTGGCCTTAGCTCCTCTTCCGTGGGTGAACTTGTACATGTAAGGCCCAGCGAAATCGACAGAGGTGCGGGTAAAACAGCGGGCGTAGGTTATGCGAGTCGCAGGTAGGTCACCCATTGTTTGAGCGGCAAGGTTTCGGTTTAAGCAAGTGCACTTCACACACTTACGATATACGTTGCGGATCAGGTTTCGGGCGCCGACAACCCAATAACGGCGTTGTAAGACCGTCTGCATAACGCGCGGCCCAGCGTGCAAGGTGAGTTTGTGTATCTCGCAGACAATTAGCTTGGCAAGCGGACAGTTCTTTGGCAGGATAATGGGATGTCTAACGTCGGGCGTGACTTCAGCATTTTTTAGTCTGCCTCCAACACGCAGAACATTGTTTTCATCGAGGAACGGCTGCAAACGCAAAAGGCAACTGCGAAGCGGGATTGGTCTTTTAGCGCTGCAAAGAGAGATCTCATTAGATAGATAGTGCTGTTGCGTATACCTGATTAGGCGAAGCTCAGCTGCAGACAACTCGCTGCAACTCGGAGGACCAAACCGCTTTGTAGCGTCGGGACGTCTATCAGCTCGAGCGTTGGAGCAGAAGCGTAGAACGTAAGCAATGACACGTCGCAGCTTGGAAAACGACGAGTACTTCATTATTACCGACCAGTCATCGCTGGAGCCAGTCACATGGGCGCAGACGCTGCCTCGAATGCCCAACTCTGTCGTGTGCTGTTTCGGCAATTTTTGCTGCCAGGATTGCTCAGTGCTTCTCAGGAAGTCAGGACCATCCCACCACAGTCGATGATGTAGTAACTCGGTGGGAGTTATACCCCTTGAAGCGCAATCTGCAGGGTTCTGCTCGGAGCGGACATGGTTCCAACACTCAGGAGGCAGGACTTCCTGAATGTCGGCGACGCGGTTGGCAATAAAAGTCATCCATCTGCTGGGATGCGCCTGCAGCCATGCCAACGTGATGGTGGAGTCGGTCCACGCGAACAGCGGGTAGCGGAGATCAGGCCAGCTGAGTAGCACGCTTCGCACCAGTTTGGAAGCGAGATGTGCCGCGCAAAGCTCTAGGCGTGGTAACGTTGTCGGTTTTAGCGGAGCCACCTTGGTCTTCGACGAGATTAGCGCGACGGTAATGGTACCATCGCTTTGTGAGGTACGCGCGTACATAACGGCGGAGTATGCGCGCTCGGATGCATCTGCGAACACGTGCAGTTGCGTGAATGACCCGGATACTTCCGTACCGAGCCAGCGATTGACCTTCAAGTGTGCGAGCTGCTGCAATTCTATGCGATGCTCCAACCATTTCGTTGCAATGGACTCAGTAATGAGGTCATCCCAGCCTACTCTGGTGCGCCAAATGTCTTGGAACCACATTTTTGATTTTATAGTTGCAGGTGCAAGCAACCCCAAGGGATCTCTCTTGGTCAAACTCACGGGCGGTTGCTTCAAGCTAACAGTGAACGTGAAGTAGTCTCCCTCCGTGTTCCAGATAAGACCTAAAGCGTGGACATCCTTATCGTCGACGATGTAATGCGATATATTTTCAGCTGCATTAGAGATGCTTGCATTAAGTTGCGCGCAGTTCGACGCCCACTTTCGGAGTTCAAATCCACCTTCCCGCAGTATTTCGGACACCCTTTGCTGCAGCAACAGAAGTTCCTCCTTACTAGAAGCACCGCTTAGCAGATCATCCATATAAAAGTCCTTTAGGATGACATTAACGGCTCTAGCACAACCATTTGATGAATACCTTGCCGTCTGTTGCAGCGAACGGACAGCTAGATGAGATGCAGCTGCTACTCCGTACGTCACACGAACCATGCGAAAGTCTTGGATAGGCAAGGATGGATCGCTACGCCAAACGATGCGCTGCAGATCGGCATGTTTTGAGGATACGCAGATTTGACGATACATTTTTGCGATATCTGCGGTTACTGCGAAGCGGTGCGTTCTGAAACGCATCAAAATCGTTTACAAATCTTGCTGCAGTTGAGGGCCGACAAATAATGCGTCATTCAGAGAATTCCCGGAAGACGATTTGGCGGACGCGTTGAAAACAGCCCGAAGTTTTGTCGTAATGCTACTCTCCTTTATAACGGGATGATGCGGCATATAGTATGTTTGATTTAAGGTTTCTGACGCGATCTGCATATGATTCATATCTATGAGTTCTTTCATAAACTCGTTGTAGCGCAAACGTAGGTCGGCGTCGCGAGCAAGTCTTCTTTCAAGGCGTAGCAAATTCTGGACGGCCAGGTCTCGCGAATCTCCCAACGGTACGTCGGGCTTTAACGGCAACTCGACGATGAATCGGCCAGTAGGTGCTCTTCGATGTGTTGTGTCGAAGTGGTCTTCACAGAAACGTTCTTCGTATGTAAGGTGCGTCTTTTGAGGTGCTTCCTCCAACTCCCACAATCTAGTCAAGGCTCGCTCTAAATGAACATCACAGTGCAGCGACTGCAAGCGTGGCGCAGTAAGCCCAGCGCCATGCAAGCTTCCAAACAATGTCCATCCAAAGACCGTTCGCTGAGTCATGGGGGTCCCGGGTGGACCCTTATGGAATTCCGCACAGACAAGTTGGTCCATGACGTCCATGCCAACCAATATGTCGATACGCCCCGGCTCCATAAACTGCGGATCGGCTAGAAACAACCCTTGGATATGCGGCCATGTTGAAACAGCTATCGTCTGCGTTGGTAAGTCGCTTGTAATTTTTGGTAAAATTAGTGCATTGACAGTGAAGCATTGATCGGAACAGTAAGAGGAATGAGACAGTGATACCTCACCTCTAGCACGACCTCCTTGCGCTGACCCAATTCCAGTGATGTATACTTCGGACGATACTCGCGACAGACCCAAGCGTTGCACGCACGCCTCAGTTACAAAGGAGGCATGCGATCCGGAGTCGAAAAGTAACCGCGCGGG